TTAATTTAATTTTTATTTTTATTTTATGTTATGTGTGTATTGCCTGCATGTAGGTAAGTGCACCCGTGTCATGCAATGCCTGTGGAGGTCAGGAGAGGCTGTCAGATCCCCTGGGACTGGAGTTATGGACAGTGTTAGTTACCATGTGGGTGCTGGGATTCTAACCTGGGTTTTCTGCAAGAACAACCAGTGTTCTTAACCTGATGGCTGAGCCATCTTTCTAGCCCCTTAAGTAATTCTTATAAAGGATGTAAACGATTATGGAATTTTTTAGGTCCTCAGGAGATAGCTCAGTTGATAAAGTGCTTGTAAACATGAGGACCTGAATTCCATTACCAGAACCCACATAAAATTGGATATGGTGGTGTACATTTGTAATCCCAGTGGAGAAAGGTATATCCCTGGGATCACTGGCCAGCCAGCATTGCCTACTTGGTAACTGCCAGGCCAGTAATAGTCCCTTTCTCAGGTGATTGACACCTGAGAAGTGGCACCCAGATTTGTCCCCTGGCTTCCACACGCATGTGCATGCCATACTCATGCACCTGCACACACATAAACACAATTTTTTTACTTAGCAATTTTTTTTTAATTAAAAAAATTTTTATGTGCATGAGTGTTTTGTCTGCATGTATGTAAGTGTACCACATGTGTGCAATGCCCTTGGAGGCCAGAAGAGAGCATCAGATTCCCTGGAACTGTAGTTACAGATGGTTGTTAGCCACCATATGGGTGCTGGGAACCAAATGCAGGTCCTCTGCAAGAACAGTCAGTGTAGGGCCCAGCATGATATCGCACACCTTTAATCCTAGCACTTGGGAGGCAGAATCAGGCAGATCTTGATTTGTTAATTCCTCTGAGCAGCTGGAAATGTATATTCATCATTGAGAAGTGTCTCATTTTGTAGGAATTGCCACTTTTGCCAGTCCAGTCACTACATTCACAGGAAATAATTCATGCTATTTGATGTATGCTCTAAAATCAGTTCCGTTCCTAATTTTGTTATTGGTGTTATTCTCTTTCAAGTACATAAACAAAGTTTCTCTTTACTAGACAGATTTTGTGACGCTTCATAGCTTGTATTTCCTTACCATTTTCTTTCCTGCTGGGAGATCTAGTGTGTTTTGTTATTAAAACATCTGAGTACTTCCTTTAGTTTTGTAGCTGAGGCTGCCCTTAGATTCCTGATCCTCCTGCCTCCTCCCTATAGTACTGGCATACCTCATACTGGCTGTATTTGTGTGTGTGTGTGTGTGTGTGTCTATAAGCCAAAGGACAGCCTTGGGTATTGTTCCTCTGTCGTCATCCACCTTTTTTTCTTTTTAGACAGGATCTCTTACTCTTAGTGGAGCTCTCTGAGTAGGCTACCCTGGCTGGGTAGTGAGCTCCAAAGATCTGCCTGTCTCTGCCTCCCCAGTGCTTGGATTACAGGTGTGTGCCATCATGTGTGGAACTTTTTACATGGGTTCTGGGGTTGAACTTGTCCTCATGCTTACAAGGCAAGCACTTTACCAAGTGATCTCTCTCTCCAGCCCCCAGTTGTATTTTTTCATTGATTTTGTTCTTTTTTTTTTTGGTCTTTTTGAGATATAGGGTCTCCCTGTATCCTGGGGAGATACGTAGCTGGCCTGGAACTGGATATGTAGACCATAGAGATCTGCCTGCATCTGCTTCCCGAGTGCTGGGATTAACGGCATGTGCCACCACACCCAGTTATTCATTTTTATTTACTCATTTGAGACATTTTCTCTCTGTGTATCCTGTGCTGGCCTGGAACTTGCTATGCAGTCTAAACTGGCATTGAACTTCTGGTCCTCTTGCCTGAGTCTCCTGTCTTGGAATTACAGATGTTTGCCATCACACCTGCTGATACTTTATTATTTTCTGAAATAAATTAATTTTTCCATATTTCAGATTTCAGAAATGTCTAATCTGTAGTGTGATCTTATTGTCATGTGCAAGTATTTCAACCAAAGGTAGAAGTTGTAGGTAGTTTTTCTCTTTTTAATCTTTGTGTGCTGGACAGCTTTAGTTGTCAACCTGACACACCTGGGAAAGGACGCCTCAACTGGAAAATTGCCTCCATTGAACTGGCCTGTGGCCATGTCTGTGGGAGTATTTCTTGATTTTTGAGTGTTGTGGGAGGGTCCAGCGTGGGCAGGTTGTTCTGTATTGTTGTATTGTATAAGGAAGCAGACTGAGCACAGGCCTGGAGAGCAAGCCAGTAAACAGTATTCCTCCATGGCCTGTGCGTTTCCTGAGTCATCTGTAGTCTCAGTCATCTCAGTTGATTCAGCTCCTGCCCTGAGTTCCTACCTTGGAACTGTGACCTGGGAGATAAGAGCTGAATAAACCCTTTCCTCCTCAAGTTGGTATTGGTCTGAATGTTTTGTCACAGCAATGGAGAAACAAACTAGAACAATGTGTATGTGTGTACGAGTGCTGGAGTATGCATGCCATGGCATGTGTATAGAGGTCAGAGGACACTGGGTGTTTGTCCTTGCCTTCCACTTTAATTGAAGTAGGGTCTCTATTCATGGCTATGTATACCAGACTAGGCTGGTGAGGTTCCAAGAATTCTCTTGTCTGTCTCCCAGGGGCCAGAGGAGCACTGGGGTTTCAGATATGTGCTATTGTGTCTGGCTTTATGTGGGTTCTGGAGATCTGAACTTAGGGCCTTATGCTTGCATAGCAAACCTTTACACACACACACACACACACACACACACACACGCACACGCACGCACGCGCACACACACGCACCCCAATACTGTAACTCCCTTTTGTTCAAACACTGCTATCTGTTACTTGTTGTCTTAACAGAATTCAGCACAGCCAGCTCCCTGTGCCCCGGGGAAATCGTTGAGGCCCTCAACTGAGATGATTGAGACTATAGATGACTCAGGAAAAGCAGAGCTTTTCTGCTCTGCTAACTGTTTATCTGCTTCCAGAGTTAAGACTGTTCTGTCCTCAGGTAATGATTACAGTTGATAAAGTTAGGGATTTAGTAACACGTTAAACATGATTATAACTGCTGTTCTTTTATTTTGTTATAAACTAAATTTATTTATATGGTTAAAAACCCAAGATTGACTTACTTTTGATGAACTAATAATTAAGTGAAAATTATTTTTCATTGATATTCTTTGTGTAGAATGTATTTCATAGTTTCATAGGTAAGAAGAAAATAAAGATAATTTAAGGTTTCTTTGTTTTTGCTCCCTATAGTAGCAGCTAGGCTGGAATTGTCTTTGTAGACTAGACTGGCCTCCATCTTACAGACAGCCTCCTGCCTCTGCCTCCCGAGTGCTGGGGTTAAAGGTGTGCACTAACACACACATCATAATTATCAAGTTTTAAGTTTGGTTTTTGGTTGTTAGCCTTAGCCTTTAACCATGCCATCTTTCTAGCCCTAAGTTAGCTTTGTGATAAGTAGGAGTTCATTGAGGTTAGTTGTTGTTCGATTGACAGATGACTGTAAAATTCTTTGATATTTTTTATGACACAGTTGACCTTCTCCATCCATAGGTTCTCCATCCATAGGTTCTCCATCCATAGGTTCTCCACCCATAGGTTCTCCACCCATAGGTTCTCCATCTACATCTCAATCTCCATCCATAGGTTCTCCATCCATAGGTTCTCCATCCATAGGTTCTACACCCATAGGTTCTCCATCCACAGGTTCTACACCCATAGGTTCTCCATCCATAGGTTCTCCATCCATAGGTTCTACACCCATAGGTTCTCCATCCATGCTTCAACCAACTACATCTCAAAGACATTCAGGAGATAATGTGTATAATTCCCAAAGTAATACCATATATCAACCATTTATGTGACATTTACATTTTATTAGGTATTCTAGGTAATCTAGATATTATAAAAGAATGCTAGAGAGGATATAAGGAGCTGACACAAAAATACTTTGGTACCATTTTATAGAAGAGGCTTGAGTATCTGTCTGCAGCTTTTGGTCTCCTTGGGGAGTCTGGGAGCCAGTTCCCGAGCCTACCAGGAGAGGCTGTGCTGAGTATTTGATTTTTTTCCCCCTTCTTTCTACTACTACGTTTTTGGATCATTTCTCATGTGGATAACATTCATTGTTTCTTATTTTTGTCATTAAGGTCTCCAGGTTTTGTGTCATAGTTGTAAAACCTCAACAAACCCTCAGTATCACCTAGTCATGTCAAATGGAACTATTTATAGCTTCTGTAGCTCCAACTGTGTGGTGGCTTTCCAGGTATGATGTACAGTGGTATTTTATCTCTCTGGTTTCTTAGGCATTGATCTATGGCAGAATGCTATAAAAGATTTTTTGTTTGTTTTGGTTTTTGAGATAGGCTCTCACCATGTAGCCCTGGCTGGTCTTGCTGTGTAGATCAGGCTGACCTCATACTCAAAGAGATCAGCCTGCCTCTGCCTCCTGAGTGGTGGAATTAAAGGCATGCACCACCACACCCTGCCTGAAAGATTAACATTTTTTTAAAAATTACATTTATTTAGTGTTTGTGTGTGTACATGCTTGTTTGAGTGTGCTGGCATGGTTACAGGGGTAAAAGGACAACTTTTGAGAGTTGGTTCTCTTCTTGTAGACCCTGGGAATTGAACTCAGGTTGTCAGGATTGGCAGCAAGCACCTTTAACCAGCTCTCCTTCTCGCCTGCCTTTTTTTTTTTTTTTTTTTTTTTTTTTTTCTTCTTTTGGTCTCCCTGTAGCTCCAGCTGGCCTAGAACTCGCTGTGTTACTGTGTAGATCAGGCTGGCCTCTATCTCACAGAGATCTTCTACCTGCCTCTGCCTCTCAAATGTTGGGATTAAGGGCATGACCTGCCATGTCCAGTCTTTGTCTTTTCTTTTCTTTTTCTTTTTTTGAGATACTCTTACTACATCTTCCACACAGGCCTAGAACTTACTGTGTAGGCCAAGCTGGCCGAGAACTCAAGGCAGTCATCCTGCCTCTGTCTCCAGAGTTATGGGACTACAGGCATGTGTAGTCTAGTCTTAGAAGTTTGAATTTAGGGTAAGGGGGAAAAATAGTCTGTTCAACCAGGGTTTCAGAGGTCTTCTGATAAAATGTTTGAGCCCAGGTGCTGGGCTTTCTTATTCTCAGGGTTCCTATCCCAGCTGCCCTTGCCTCCTTCCACTTCTTCCTCTTGGTGCTCTTCTTTCCTGATTTTTTTCTTTTTTTGGTCTTTTTGAGACAGAGTCTCCCTGTAGCCCCAGCTGTCCTAGAACTCACTATGTAGACCAGGCTGGCCTTGAACTCACGAGATCCACTTGCCTCTGCCTCCCACATGCTGGGATCAAAGGCGTGTGCTACCACACCTGGCTCTTTTTTTTTTTTTTAATTAAAAAAAAAATTTTTTTTTTCATAGGATCTCATACTATAGCCCAGGCTGGCCTTAGAACTCCAGATCTTCCTGTCTCTACCTCTGAAGTGTTAGGATTACAGTCACATGTCATCACACTGATTCTGATGCTCTTCTTTTCAAAGGAATAGAAGCTAGAATGTGGTTCCAAAGGTTGTATAGGGAAGAATAAAAGCCAGTTGAGGCTCTTGTGTCCTAGTCCAGAAACCTAATGATTCTTGGCATGGAGTTGTAGACACTTTCTTGTCCCATTTCTCGTCCCTCTCTGCAATATATGGCAAAAATAAAGAATTTCTTCATTTTCCTGGATGACAGGATGCTTGGTGTATCCACTGTCACACTAGCTAGCAGGAGTTGGTTGGTGACATGTGCAGGGCCTGAGGAAGGCACCTGGGGGAAATAACGCTGGAGTCTTTATACTAGTCCTTAGCCTTTGAATGTTTCATTTTTTAGTCTCATTCTTAAAGTATGCCACTGAGATTCTGTTCGAAGTAAAATCTCAAAAAAATACTCTGGTAGACTTAATTTGTTAAAATGAGGAAATTTAAAATGATTAAGTTGCATTATTTTTCATTTGATAAACTCTTTGCTTTTTGTTCATTTAGAATGTATTAAACAAGCCAGAGGGAACAAAGTCTTCATCAGCACCCTCATCTCAGGGCCAAGAGCTTACGACCCCACCCTTGGAGTCCACGGTATCAACAGAAGGTGACAAGGCCTTTGGTGCCCCACACTCTTCCTTCAGCAGCCCCATTAGTGGACCTGCCGCAGCTGCTCTGGAGACACTTGCTGAGCAATCTCAGCAGATTGCCTTAACCCATACATTCATGAAGCTCAAGTGTCAGCAGTGTAACCACCTGTTTATCACCAAACCAGAGCTGCTTTTCTACAAGGTAAAGAGGCATCCTGGCAGGGATTGGGCATAAACCACCCAGTAAGAATATTCTGTTTTTTCATCTTTGACAGGTTTTCAGTTTGTGTTGGTGTTTTTTAAAAAAACTCTGTGTGTGTGTATGCATGTGTATGTATCTGTGTACATCCACATGCTGCAGTGTGCATGTGGAGGTTAGAGTGCAACCTTCTATACCATGCAGGGTCTGGGAGGTCATCAGGCTTGGCAGCAAGTGTCTTTATCCCTGAGCCATCTCACTGGTCTAGAGTAGAATTTCTTTTTTTTTTTTTTTAACTTTAAAAAAAATTTATTTATTATTTTTATTTTATGTGTATGCATGTATTGCCTGCATGTAGGTAAGTGCACCCAGGTACCCATGTCGTGCAATGCCTGTGGAGGTCAGAAGAGGCTGTTAGATACCCTGGGACTGGAGTTACAGTTGTTAGCTGCCATGTGGGTGCTGGGATTCGAACCCAGGTCTTCTGCAAACAACCAGTGTTCTTAACTGCTGAGCCATCTCTCCAGCCCTAGAGTAGGATTTCTTTTTTTCTGTATTTTTTGAAACAGGGTCTCCTTGTAGCCCCAGCTGTTCTGGAATTCACTATGTAGACCAGGCTGGCCTCGAACTCACAAAGATCCACCTGCCTCTGCCTCCCAAGTGCTGGGATTGAGACAGGGTCTCCTTGTAGCCCCAGCTATCCTGGAACTCACTATGTAGACCAGGCTGGCCTGGAACTCACAGAGATCCACCTGCCTCTGCCTCTCGAGTGCTGGGATTAAAGGCATGGGCCACCAAGCTTAGTTAGATATTAATGACTTTTTTGTTTTTTCTTTGCAGGGTAGGATGTTTCTGTTTTGTGGCAAGACTTGCTCTGATCAGTACAAAAAGGAAAATAAAGTTATGGCATTGTGTGACTACTGTAAGCTGCAGAAAATCATAAAGGAGACTGTGCGATTTTCAGGAGTAGACAAGCCATTCTGTAGTGAAGGTAAAACAAGAGGTTCACCTACAGAGTACATGGTTGTTATGGTCATGCTTATCTTCTAGAGGCTCTAATGTTTCTTTTGTTTGGTTTTTTTTTGAGATAGGGTCTCACTATGTAGCTCTGGATGACCAGGGACTTGCCATGTAGACCAGGCTAGCCTCAGACTCACAGAGATCTGCCTATCTTTGCCTTATGTCTGAGTGTGGGGATTAAGTGTGTGCCAACAAGCCTGGTTGGTTTTTATTTTTGTTTTTGAGGCAGCATCTTTGTAGCCTAGTCCAACTGGGAACAACTGAGACTGGTCTTGAATTTCTAATCCTCCTGTGTCCACATTCCAAGTGCTGGGATTACAGGCATGCATCACCATACCTGTCTAGAAATCAACTTAAAAACACCGTAGAGAGGCCTAGAGAGATGGCTCAGCAGTTAAGAGCACTGACTGCTCCTGTAGAGGACCCAGATTTGGTTTGTAGCACCCACATGGCAGTTAACAGTTGTCTGAAATTCCTGTTTCAAGAGATCAGACACCCTCCTCTGACCTCTACAAGCAGTGCACAACACGAGTTCACTTACATACATATAAACAATACACTCACTTTTAAAATAATAAATAAAAACAAAAAAATACCACAGACACACACGTCACCTCCTTGAAGTTAATGTGAATTTGTTTTCTTCCTTTCATCCTCTGGTGGTTAGTTTGCAAGTTCCTCTCTGCTCGAGACTTTGGAGAAAGATGGGGAAACTACTGTAAGATGTGCAGTTACTGTTCACAGACATCTGCAAATTTTGTAGAAAATCGTTTGGAGGGCAAGCTAGAAGTGTTTTGTTGTGAAGATTGCATGTCCAAATTTACAGTTCTGTTTTATCAGGTAAACATGACATGCTTTTTTTCCCTTTCCTTTCTGAAATTAGTGCTAATCATTTTGAACTTAAAATATGTTCAAATTATATGAAAAATATGTGTTTAGAGCTGAGGATTTTTGGATGTCCCTTCCTCTACCCTACCCTGATACTGGGGATTGGACTTAGGACCTCATGCATGCTGGACAAATGTTCTGCCACTGAGCTGTATCTGTAGCCTGAGATTTTGTTGTCAATTAAGGGTATGTGCTTTTTCCCTTGCTTTGTTTCTTTCTGATAAAGGAGCTAACCTTGTTTGTAACTGTCAGGTTAGATGTTTACGTAACTTTGCCTTAGATGGCTCTCTCATTCAGGTTACCCTGAGGAGTCTGAAGTAAGATCTTGTTCTCACTTCATAGGTCAAGTGACAAACTGACTTACCTACTTTTTCATATTTGAAAGGCTAATAGTGATAGTCGTAGTTAATGGAACCAAAAGTACAGATCTGATGCTCCTTCAGTGTTGCTTTGTTTAATCCTGATGACAGTCCCAAAAGTTAGGTGTATTGTTGCCAGTTTATAAATAAAGAAAAAGCTTGTAGTCCAGAGAGCTTAGCACCATGCTTGGTGGAAGCTGGTACATGATAAGGAGGTGGACCTGGAGCAGCACTCCAGCAGAATCATTGTGTTCCTGCCTACCTCACCCCTAAATGTGATTTTCTTGGAGAGGAAAAGAATGCATTTTAATCATTGTAAGGCCGGGGGCCAACTGCAGTGCTGAAGACAAAGGGTGCTTAATTGGACCGTTGAGAGTAAATCAAAGTCTTTATGACTCCAGAGCCCATTTTCTTTCTACTGCTAGATGTTCCTTCTCAATCTTCTAAAATAAGAACCTGTCTTTTATATTATTTCGTTAGTAATTAGAAATAAAGAAACTTTTTATTTAGTTAGTTTTTTGGTCTTTTTGAGACAGGGTTTTCCTGTAGCCCCAGCTGTCCTGGAACTCACTATGTAGACCAGGATGGCCTGAATTCACAGAGATCTACCAGCCTCTGCCTATTGAGTGTTGGGATTAAAGGTGTACGCCACAACCCCCTGCTCAGATTTTGTGGTCTTACTTAACTTGTATACACTGTTTTTATAGTGCGTCTGGTTTATAATTAATATTTTCATGATTTGATAGTTTTAATCCTCCCTTGTCTTTTTCCTTCTCAGATGGCCAAGTGTGATGGTTGCAAACGGCAGGGTAAGCTAAGTGAGTCCTTAAAATGGCGAGGGGACATCAAGCATTTCTGTAACCTGTTTTGTGTCTTGAAGTTTTGCCATCAATATAGTACGAATGACCCATTTCCACCAAAGAAAGGTAAAATGAAACTTGACTTCTGGGGTCTTTTAATTTCAGTGGTAGGATAGTCTGTCAACACACACAGTTGAAGATTGTACAATTCAAAACAAAATTTCATTAGATACAAATAACTTGGATTTCCTCAATTTTTTTTAAGTATCCTTAGTTACATTCCTTGAGGGAAAATTTATTAATGCTTTTTGTTGTCATAATTAAACCTACCAAGAAATTATGAAATATATACATAATGATTTTATGGTAAAATTTATTTTGATTGGTTTTGCATAGGTAATTTACCCTAAGAGAGACATACTACTCAGTTAATAAATTAGAAGTAAAAATAAGGCAGGCAAACACGGAGAGAGGATATGAGTGTGTTAATACTGCTGCCTTGGCTGGTGGAGATTTGACTTAGGGCTTGCTTATAGCTAAGGAAAGAGCAGCACATTAATTATCTTAGGAAAAATAAAGTAGACCAGTTCTTCCTGGGTAGCAAAGTTTTTTCTGGTTAAAGTAAAATAATTTTATAAGTAGGACAGCTAATGTGGTCAAAATGTTCAGAAGAATAGATGTATGGGATATTCTTAAAGTGTTATCCTCTCAGGTACTTTCTGAGGAATCATTCAGAAGCACTGGATATTGTGGTCTCTGATCAAAATCTGAAATGCTACTTAACTGACAGAATCCATGTGCTTTGACTTCTTGTAATTGGCTCTGTTCACCTTTTTACTCTATTAAGTATATGTGTCAGGTGCCATCTCTTCCTTGTCACCACTCAGGTTGGTGGTAGAGTATTCATTTTCTAATGTAGCTGAGGATAAACCAGTGTTACTAGAAGGGGGACTATGTCAGGGGAGGAGGAGGTCTAAATGGATGGAAGGGAAAAAAGAAAGACAAATACTGTGTGTTTTCTTTGTAGAAATGTAGAATTTGTCACATCTAGCAGAAGAACTATTTGTGGGGGGACAAAGGTGACAGGGAGAGGGTACATGGGAAGATAATGTGGGGTTTGAATATTAGCAAAATGCAGTGCTGTATATGAAAATATCATGCTGGAACCTATTATTTTTTAATGCTAACTAAAACAAGAAAAAAACAAAAACAGTGTTACATGGCTCTTTCAGCAATGTGTAAAAGTTGTCATGTTGGGGCTAGAGAGATGGCTCAGCAGTTAAGAACACTGGCTGTTCTTGTAGAAGATCCAGGTTTGAATCCCAGCACCCACATGGCAGCTAACTGTCTGTACTCCAGTTCCAGGATCTGACGCCCTCTTCTGACCTCCGGGGGCATTGCATGACACGGGTGCACTTACATACACGCATATGTGTAGGCAATAAATGCATACACATAAAAATACATATTTTATATATTTATATATATAATTTTTTATATAAAATAAAAGTATTTTTTTTAAAGTTGTTATGTTATCCAGTCGTGGTGGCACACACCTTTAATTCCAGCACTCAGGAGGCAGAGGCAGGCAGATCTCTGTGAGTTCAAGGCCAGCCTGGTCTACATGGTGGCTTCGAAATTTTACAGATTTTTAAAAAACTTGGTACTTGAAATACATGAAGAGATTTTTAAAAATTAACTCATTAAACATTTTAACTGATTTTTTGTGTATTTCATACAAAACACCTTTTTATGAAAAATTTAAAAAATATATTTTATTTATTACTTTTATTTTGTGTGTACCTGCATGTATGTGAGTGCACCCGTGTCGTGCAATGCCACAGAGGTCAGAAGAGGACTTCGGATTCCCCTGGAACTGGAGTTAAGGACAGTTGGTATCCGCCATGTGGGAATTGAACCTGACCTGAGTCCTCTGCAAGAGCTGTCAGTGCTCTTAACCACCAAGCCATCTCTCCAGCCCCTAATTTGAAACTTAGAATTACAGAATCAGGCCCCTTTTAGATCTCAGTGAACACTAACTTTACCAATGTCAACCAGGTAATGTTGCACAGAGTTAGATATTTGTATTCTTCCAAAAAACTACTTGCTAAACAGATTTTTTTTTCCTGTATATGACCCTTTTGTTTATACTATCTGTAACTTTTTTGTTTACTTTAATCAGTATTTATTTTTTTCCCTTTTTTGAATGGAATACTTCGTGGATTTGCTTGTTTTCCTTGCACAGGAGCCATTCTAATCCCTGTATCATTTCTATATTTTAGTATTTGTGCTCCCAAAGCCAGCACCAGTAATTATTCCTAAGGCACAAGCTGCTTTGATGGCACTCCCTTCTCCAAGGGTAGTTACAACACCGGTTATAACCAATGTGATGTCATTGGCCAAAGTACCTGCTGCCCAGCCCATAGGGAACACTTACAACGTTTTAACAGGTATGGCTTGATATAGAGGCATTTGGCTAGAAGATAGAGGTAAGCATTGCTTTGTCTAAGAGTTCTTATTGGTACTGTGTTTCTTTATATGAGGAAATGTGTATACCCAGAGATACAGGGTGAGTGGCTAGTATGCAAGGCGATAGGGGTTGGAAAAAAAAAAAAAAGTATAAATATACATGGTTAAAAATTTAAGAACTTGAACTTTTTTTTTTTTGTCTTTTTGAGAAAGGGTCTCCCTGGAGCCCAAGCTGACCTGGAACTCAATATGGAGACCAGGCCAGCCTTGATTTCACAGAGACCCACCTGCCTCTGCCTCTCAAGTGCTGGGATTAAAGGCATGTGCCACCATGCCTGGCCAGAATTTGAACAGTTTTAATATGCTTTCCGTGTGTGTGTGTGGTGTGGTGTATGTTTGTGGGTGACAATGTGGGTGTGGAGACCAAAGGTTGACATTGGTGTCTTATATTGTGATATTAATGTTAACATTGTGTCTTGGGGACAAGAAATGGAAAGGTTATGGTTTAATAGTGATGTGTTTGTGTGTCAAGTTGACAAGGGGTCAATTGTGCTGAATAGCTTTAGTGTCAACTTGACACACCTGGGTTGAGGGAGCCTCAGTTGGAGACTTGCCTCCATTGGACTGGCCTATGGCCATGTCTGTGGGTCATATTCTTGATTAGTGAATGATATGGGAGGGTCCAGCCCCCCGTGGGTGGTGCCATGCCTGGGCAGGTTAGCCTGTGTTGTATAAGAAAGCAGGTTGAGCAGGGGTCAGGGGAGCAAGCCAGTAAGCAGCATTCCTCCGTGGCCTGTGCTCCAGCTCCTACTTCTAGGTTCCTGGCCTGAGTCCTACCTTGGGCTTCCCTGATGAACTGTGACCCAGGAGATGTAACCAAATAAACCCTTTCCTCCCCAAGTTGGTATTGGTCAGTGTTTTGTCATAGAAATGGAGGCACAAACTAGAGCAATTGTCTTCATTGCTCTCTACCTTAGTTTTTCATTTTAAATTTTATTTAGTATCATTGTCTGTCTGTATGTTTGATGTATGTGCATGAGTGTGGGTGTGCGAGTGCAAGGACATGCATGTAGAGGTCAGAAGACAACTGTTGGGAGTCAATCCTCTCCTTCCATAGTGGGATCTGGGCCTCAAAGTCAGGTTGTCAGGTTTGTGTGGCAAGCATCTTTACCCACTGAACTGTCTCACTAGCCTTCACCTTAGTTTTTGAAGTAGGGTCTCTTTACTGATCCTAGCACTCACCGATTGGCTAGGCTAGCCAGCAAACTCTGGGAATCCTGTCTCAGCTGAGGTTACAGATGCGTAGAACCATACCTGGCCTTTATTTGTTGTTTGTTTTCTGAGGATCTGAACTCAGTCCTCATGCTTGTACACTAAGCACACTGGGCCATCTCCCCAGCTCTGCTCCCTCCCTGCTTCTTTATCACCAGCCATTTAGTAAAGTAGGATGGAGCTCAGGTAGGGAATGCTCAGCTTCACTGGGTACCACAGGTATTATTAATATAGCATTTCCTTGGATCATTTTTTTCAAGAAATTCCAGCTTAGACCCTAACTCACCTTAATGAGGGAAAATTAATGTCTTAGTTTCAATGTTTACTTGTGTATATTGTGGGACTAATAATACATATTTTAATTTGTAACAGATGCAGCTCCTAAAGAGGCAGCAAACATCATTGAAACTGTGAGTTTTACTGTTAATATTTTACCTGATAATACCACTGGATTTATTTTCATTGTGGTTATAATATTCTAATATATGTGCAAGTACTTTCCTGTTTGCAGCATGTTCTTTTCAGAGAGTGGAATAATACCCTGACTTTCTGTTTTGTATTGTATAACCCTAGATAAGGACCTACTTTGGATTTATTTTGCTGTTGTATTCAGGTTCCTTAATTTGTTTAAGTACTTGCTAATTCCTTCTGTGCTTATTTTTCTCTTACTACATTCAAGTATTTTAATTTTAGACTAGAAAGTCTTGGTAGTTCACTTTGGTGTAATTTTGAGCCATGTGAGGCTGAAAATACTACAAATTGAATATTTATTTAAGCTCTGTGTGGGAGATTTGAAGTATTATGAAGTGTCCCCCAAATTAAAAAAAATTCAAAAATGCATAAATGCATTTCAAGCCTGGCAGACTGAAAGGATTAGAGGCTATGTTGTTGTTGCCCAGTGTCAGTCATCACCTAGAGACTAGAATTCCCATCACCCTTCATCAGTACTGTGTTAGGTTTGGAGTTAATGATTTTGTTGACCATTGTGCTATGATCTTAACATTAGCTCTTGATATAATTAAAAGTCTTTTCTTTTTTTTTGGTCTTTTTGAGACAGGGTCTCCCTGTAGCCCCAGCTGTCCTGGAACTCACTATGTAGACCAGGCTGGCCTTGAACTCACAGAGATCCGCCTGCCTCTGCCTCCTGAGTGCTGGGATTAAAGGTGTATGCCACCATGCCCAGCTTAAAAGTCTGTTCTTATGTAACAATATTATTCAAGTGTTATGAAGTAGTGGTGCTAGGGCTAAAATGTATACACACATTCAGTGCCTTGAGAGCAGAAGTTAGAGGGGATGACAAAGGTGGTCAAACCACTGCTGTGGTATCTCATTCTGCTAATTTAGGAGAAGGTATCTATCCTGCACAGTATTAGAGGTAATGCTCAAAACCCCAAAGTAGTAGAGTGGGTAAACCACTTAGCTTGGAAAAAATATCTTTTATGGTTTTTTTTTTTTTTTTGGTAGTTTGAGACAGGGTCTCCCTGTAACACCAGCTGGCCTGGAACTCACCATTTAGACCAGGATGGCCTTGAACTCACAGAGACCTCCTGCCTTTGCCTCCTGAGTGCTGGGATTCAAGGTATGTGCCACCACGCCCTGCAGAAAAATTATCTTACAGCTATGCAAGGATAATAAGAAAAAAGTTGTGGCCATTCAGGCATTAATTTTTACTTTTTTTTTTTTTTTTTTTTGAGACAGGTTTTCGCTATGTAGTTCTGGCTGGCCTGGAACTTGCTATGTAGACCAGGCTGGCCTCAGACTCACAGATCTACCGCCTCTGCCTTCCAAGTGCTGGGATTAAAGGTGTGTGCCACCATGCTCATTGAACATGAATTATTTTTGATGAAATGAAAGGAGACTGGCTGTCAAGATGGCTCAGCAGGTAAAGGTGCTTGCTGCACAAGCCTGACAACCTGAGTTTGAGTCCTGGCACCCATGTAAAGGTGGAAGGAGAGAACTGACTCCGCACAGTTGTCCTCTGGCCTCACATGTCTACTGTGACATGCATATGCCCCCCGTTCCCTCCCATCATATACACACACAAAAATAATAATAAATAAAATAACATTTTTTAAAGAAGAAAGGAGGTGACAGTAAGACAAAATGTTTACCATTAGTTATTGCTCACTTTCCAGTTTTAAAGCCCTTTGAGATTTTAATATAAAGATGAGCAGGCAAGCTATGTCTGCTCTCAGCAGTTGATCGTATTTTAGCAGCGGTTTCTAGTTTTGAACATGATGATCCAAATATGGATTGCTGTTCCATAGTAGTGAGGCAAAAGATGGAAAATGTGCCTATACATCAAGAAAGGCGAAAGGCTTAGTGAGGAAAAAGTGAGAGAAAAAATTTAAACCATATTAGATTCATTCTTTAGCAGAAATCTCGCCAGTAATCAGTACTATGGAGAGCTAGCTTGTCCTAATTTAGTTTTTTTTCTCTTTCTCTTTTTTTTTGATCTTTTTGAGACAGGGTCTCCCTGTAGCCCCAGCTGCCAGCTGGCCTGGAACTTGCTATGTAAGACCAAGCTGGCCTCCCAAGTGCTGGGATTAAAAGCATGCACCACCAAGCCCGGCTTCTAATTTAGTTTCTCTTAACTCTCCCATTATTTATGGTGTTGGATGATGATAATTTGTACTTAATTATTTTCAGATGGCATATTAGTTAATGAAATGTCATTCAATTAACTTGTACATATTTGTATATTACATGTTACACATTAAATTATTTTTCAGTTATTGCACCATTAATAATTATGTCATTAAATACACTTGTACAATTAAGATGGTAGTGTGTTATTAATAAGTATTATTAACATGTACTTATAAAAGTATTCTATATAATTCCTAACAGACTACAACACTGCTTATGTGCACTCTGGGAATGTATCCCTCTTCTACTTTATATATATGGGACAGTTTGTCTTGAATTATGCTTGTTTGAATTATTCGAGTTTTTAGGAAAATGCATCTCATTTAATGTAGCTGCTCTATATGTGTTTTCCCCATGTGGAGTAGTTCCGTAATTCACTTGTCGTGTAAACTGTGTTACTAAATAACTTTGATTAGTATTTTCACTTTAGTCTATAAAGAGTATAATGTTCTTGTGATTCGAAAAAAAAAAAAAAAAAAAAACTGAAGTTTTCTGTAGACCTTGGTCTCAAAAAGGTCCACCTATCTTTGCCTCCTGGGTGCTGGGATTAAAGACATGTGCCAACATACCCAGCTGTTGGTTTTGTTTTTGAGACAGGGTTTTACTATGTAACAGAGACTGCCCTTTTACTCAGTGATCCTTCTGCCTCAGCCTCCTATGTGCTGAGACTCTGGGTGTGCACCACTATGCGTAGGTAGAAACAAAGGTAAATGAAAGTGCAAAGGGTATGGTAGACTGTTTATGGGAAAGAAAATGTAAGTAATGTTGCACATAAAGAATGCCCGTCTATACTACAGTAGGGGAAGTATTCACATACTGAGAGACAGCCAAAAGTAAAACACTCTGTTAACTAGGGTATTGGAATGTGAGCTCACGTGTGTTGTAATCGCTACATAATTTGACCCAACCTTTTTCAAGAGCAATTTTTCAATATCACCAGAATTAAAATCACATGCCTGTGACCCCCAATAATACTTAAGCTTTATTCTGTAGATACTCCAGCACATGTAGGATGAATTTATATGTAAGGATAAGCATTGTGGCATTGTTTATAATGGCACAAGATATGTAATGTTTATAATATTTGTAGTAAGCAAGAACTCTTCAAATTATTTGACTCATTTTTTTAAATTTATTATTTTTATTTTATGTGTATGAGTGTATTGCCTGCATGTGTGTTAGTACATCCATGTCGTGCAATGTCCATGAAGGTCAGAAGAAGGTATAGGATCCCCTGGAACTGGAGTTATGGACGTGTGTTAACTGCCATGTGGGTGCTGGGAATTGAATCTCCTCAAGAGCAAGCAGTGCTCGTAACCACTGAGTCATCTCTCCAGCCCCTTATGGCTCATTCTTAAGTAATGGAATACTGTGCAGGTGGTTACTAGATGGTGTATTACAGTGTTATGTAAATATATTTCTATGGTATCTTGCTAGGTGACAAGAGTGAGGCACTGATAATTCAGAGTTACCATTTTTAGTCAGAAGTGACTTAGTTACAAAGACCATCACATATATCAGAAACTGGGAACAATGGTTGTTTTTAAAGTTGAGTCTGGATAGAGAACAGCTAGTCATGTATGCACACATTTATTTCTCTTTAATTCTGTATGGGAGTCAGAGGACAACTTAAAGGACTGGTTCTCTCCAACCATGTGGACCCAGGGAATTGAACTCCGAATTGAACACAGGTTGTCATGCTTGGCTGACACACTAGGTGTGCCATCTCCCTGACCCTGGCTTACTCTTCAACAATTGAGATCTCTGCCCAGATGTTGACTCCCACATCACACTCTTCTCCAAGCAGCCTCACTTCATTCCCTTACCTACTTTTTCTTTATAGCTCTTAGACTTAGATTTACATGTTACACTTTGTTCCACTTGTTAGCTTTCTGTGTCTCCCTCTAGGCTGTAAAGCTCATAAGAATGAGGCTCTTTTGTTTTCTGCTGTATCCCTAGGGCTTAGAACAGTGCCTGGCTTGTGGTAAATATGTGGTGAATGTTTTCTGAGTGAATAAACATGTTTTAACACACACCTTTAGTCCCAGCACTTGGGAGGCAGAAGCAGGTGGATCTCTGTGAGTTCGAGGCCAGCCTGGTCTACATAATAGTGAGTTCCAGACCAGCTGGGGCTACAGGGAGACCCTGTCTCAAAAAGACAAAAAAAACCTGTCTCAAAAAGACAAAAAAAAACCAACAACAAAACAAACAACAACAAAAAACATGTTTTAAATAAGTTTTCCCACTCTGTTTTATGAAGAAAGGTGTGCCACCACACCCGGCATGAGTGGTCAGTGTTCTTAACACTGAGCCATCGCTCTGGCCCTACTAAAGTTTATTATATTTCCAGTAGTCAAATGTGTCAGTCTTTTTCAGTTTATTTTTATCTTATTTTTAAGAATGCTTCTTCTGGGGCTGGAGGTATGGCTCAGTGGTTAAGAGCACTGGTTGTTCTTGCAGAAGACTGGGGTTTGAATCCCAGTACCCACATGGCAGCTAACAGCTGTCCATAACTCCAGTTCCAGGAGATCAGAAAGCCTCTTCTGTCTTCCACGGGCATCGCACGACACAGGTGCCCTCACCTACATGTAGACAATATACGCATAAACATAAATTTAAAAAAATAACAAGTAAAATATTTTTAAAAAATAATGCTGCTTCTATGCATCCATGTTTGTTTGTTTCTCTCTTGTTTATTTTTGTTTATTTTTGTTGAGATCTTCAATCAATAATGAATATATTTTTTGTTGGGTCTGAGGTTGGATCTAGTTTTTCTGAGTAGCAAGTTATTCTTATCAGCAGAATAATGTGTGTGTATATGTGTTGCTGGGCAAGTGCTTTCTCATTGTACTACACCTATGACCCCTGGAATATTTTTTAAAAAATCATGACCAGAACTATTGCTGATTAGGAGAATTAGGAATTAGTCTTTTTTGTATTTTTTCCCCAGACTACCTTCTTTTTCGCCCTCTTTCAGAGAGTAACTTCCCCTTTCATATTATTGCAATATAGTCATGAATAAGATACCGGTTTCTGAATTTGTTTTTACCTAGGGGAGTACACAGGCAGCTGCCACAAAACGTCCATCTTCTCAAGCTCCTGAAGAACAAAGACCTATTCCCAAGCTCCTGAAGAACAAAGGCCTATTGTGCAAGCCAGTCACGCAGACCAAGGCCACCTCTTGCAAACCACATACACGGCACATTGGATGTCAGACAGGTACACATCCTGGCACTTTGTATAAAGTTTGTTTTCTGATTTGTTTGTTTTTTATAAGAAAGGTAAAGACAGTCATTTTCTCTTGGGTGTGAAGACATTAATGCCTGTATCTCATACTTGAAATCTGTATGTACACAAAGTGTCATGTGTAGTAGAGTAGACAAACAGCTCCCACATGTGTGCATTACTGCTTTCCAGATGTACAGACAAGCCCTTAAAATTGCTGAGGTACATATTTGAATAAAAGCATTACTGGTAGCCAGGAGTCGTGGTACACGCCCTTAATCCCACCACTAGGGAGGCAGAGGCCAGCGGATCTGTGAGTTCCAGGCCAGCCTGGTCTACATAGTGAGTTCCAGGTTAGCTGGGGATACAGGGAAACCCTGTCTCAAAAAAAAAACAAAAATAGGGCTGGAGAGATGGCTCAGTGGTTCAGAGCACTGACTGCTCTTGCAGAGGACCCGGGTTTGATTCCCAGCACTCATATGGCAGCTATGAACCATCCTTAACTCAAGTTCCAGGGAGTCTGAAGCCCTCTTCTGACTCTGACCTCCATGGCATTGCACGACACAGGTGCACTCACATACAC